CCCTCTACTCTCTTGTGATGAATTGAGTTTCCCCTTTGAAGTTATCTTATCGGATTGAGTCTTTTATGAGAACACTTGATGTATGTCTTGCCGTGCTTATCTGTGGTGACAATGGGATATCATGTGCCTCTTGATGTATGTTTTGGTGACCAACTTGCGGGTTCCACCCATGAACCTATGCATAGGGGTTGGCACACGTTCTTGACTCTCCGGTAGAAACTTTGGGGCACTCTTTGAAGTACTTTGCGTTGGTTGGATGAATCTGAGATTGTGTGATGCATATCGTATAATCATGCCCACGGATACTTGAGGTGACAATGGAGTATCTAGGTGACGTTAGGGTTTTGGTTGATTTGTGTCGTAAGGTGTTATTCTAGTACGAACTCTTTTATAGATCGATCCGAAAGAATAACTTTGAGGTGGTTTCGTACCCTACCATAATCTCTACGTTTGTTCTTCGCTATTAGTGGCTTTGGAGTGACTCTTTGTTGCATGTTAAGGGCTTGTTATATGATCTATCTATGTTATTATTGTTGAGAGAACTTGCACTAGTGAAAGTATGAACCCTAGGCCTTGTTTCCTATCATTGCAATACCGTTTACGCTCACTTTTATCGCTCGTTGCCTTGCTGTTTTTATTATTTCAGATTACAAAAACCTTTATCTACTATCTATTTTGCACTTGTATCACCATCTCTTTGCCGAACTAGTGCACCTATACAATCTACCATTGTATTGGGTGTGTTGGGGACACAAGAGACTCTTTGTTATTTGGTTGCAGGGTTGCTTGAGAGAGACCATCTTCATCCTACGCCTCCTACGGATTGATAAACATTAGGTCATCCACTTAAGGGAAATTTGCTACTATCCTACAAACCTGTGCACTTGCAGGCCCAACAACGTCTACAAGAAGAAGGTTGTGTAGTAGACATCAGTGAGGTCGACGGCGGCAGCGGTGAGGTCGAGGGCGGCGGCGATGAGGTCGAGGGCGGCGACGGTGAGGTTAAGAGCGGCGGCGGGCGGCGGTGCTGAGGCTGAGAGCGGGCGGCGGCGATGAGGGCAGGCTCGGGCGGCGGCGACAGAGGAGTAGGGGAAAGGGGGGAATGGAGGACTTAGCCAAATTTTGAGCCGGGGCGGGTGGTTAATTCAGAAGTAGTAGTAGCACGTTCCAAAAAGCGCGCTACTGCTATGTTAGCTACAGCGCGTTCTGGTATACACGCTACTGCTACTCCTTTCTCTTTTTCCCCTTTTCATTTCTTTTTCTTCACATTTTATTTTTTTCCTTTCACCTTATTCTATTTCTTTCATTTTCAATTACCTTTCTATTTGCTTTCCATTTAATTTTATATCCTTTAGCAGTAGCGAGTTTAGAAGAAAACGCGTTGCTACAAAGTAAGTAGCGGTAGCACGGTTCTATATGGATCGCTACTACTATGTGTAGCCTATCGGCTAAGCCGTGGGAATTATAGTGGTAGCGCTTGTTTCCGGACATGCGCTACTGCTAACGTTTGAGCTATAGCGCGCTTTGCGTGAACGCGCTACTACAAATTAGCAGTAGCGCCCTATTTTAACCAGCGCTACTGCTATACCTCTGTGTATAGGCTTTTCCCTAGTAGTGCAAGATTGAACCCAAAGCTAAGCACCAGTCCCATTGCAAGAAAAACCAATCTAGTTGGCCAAACCAAACCGATTGTTCGAAGAGAAATACAAATATATGAAATCATGCGTATGAGAATTCAGAGAAGAATCAAATAATATTCATAGATAAGCTGATCATAAATCCACAATTCATCGGATCTCGACAAACATACCGCAAAAGAAGATTACATCGGATAGATCTCCAAGAACATCAAGGAGACCGTGGTATTGAGAATCAAAAAGAGAGAAGAAGACATCTAGCTACTAGCTATGGACCCGTAGGTCTGAGGTAAACTACTCATGCTTCATCGGAAGGGCGATAGGGTTGATGTAGATGCCCTCCGTGATCGAATCCCCCTCGGTAGGATGCCAGAAAAGGCTGCAAGACGGGATCTCACGGGAACAGAAGGTTGCGGCGGCGGAAAAGTGTTTTCGTGCATGCTTCTTGTGGTTTGGGAATATATGTAAATATATAGGAGGAAGAACTATGTCAAGGGAGTCACAAGGGGCCCACAAGATAGGGGGACGCGCCCTACCCCCCGGGCGCTCCCTCCACCCTTACTGCCGCCTCGTGACTCTTCTGACTTGAACTCCAAGTCTCCTGGGTGCCTTCTGGTCCAAAAAAAATTATCGCGGAAGTTTTATTCCATTTGGACTCCGTTTGGTATTTCTTTTCTCCGAAGCTTAAAAATAAAGAAAAAACAGAAGCTGGCACTGGGCTCTAGGTTAAGAGGTTAGTCTCAAAAATAATATAAAATAGCATATTAATGCATATAAAATATTTAAAATAGATAATATAATAGCATGGAACAATCAAAAATTATAGATACATTGGAGACGTATCAGATTTCATTCGTGGTTTTCTTTTGTTTCTATTGGTGTGGGTTTCTTCTCCAGTTTTAAATGTTGGGGTCTGGGTTTTATTTTATTTTATTTCTTCACCAGTTTTCTTGTTTTCTTTTTCATTTTCTTCTTTTTGGTTTTCTTTTGTTTCTTCCTTGGGTTTATTTTTTGCACTTTTTTCTCTAGTTTTCTGGTCTCCTTTTTCTCTTCGGTTTTCTTTTCATTGTTTCTTTGGTTTTTATTTTCTATACTTTTTCATGTTTTCTTTCTTTCTTAGTTTTCATCAAGTTTTTTTGTTTGTGTTTGGTTTTGTTTTGCTTATCTTTGTTTCCTTATGGGTTCTCACGAGTTTTATGGGTTTTCCATTTTGCTTTCTTTCTAAGGTCTTTCTTGGTTTTCACCGTTTTTTTATTTTTTATTCAACAAATGTCAACATTTTTCATACACATTTGCTAGTTTTATGTATACATCAGGAATATTTTTTATACACGTTTAACATTTTCATAAATTGATGTTTGATGACAACTTTTTTGATACACATTGTACAGATTTGTTATATATTAGGAACATTGTTAGTACATATTTAACATATTTAAATATATGGTTAATATATTTTATACACTATCAACAATTTTAAAAAATTATGTATATACATTTTTCGTATACATTAGAACGTTTGTTATACATGTTTAACATATATGAAACAGATAGTAACATTTTTGCAAATATTTGTGTTTGATGAGTACTTTTCAGTACACATTCTACATTTTTTGTGTACACCAGGAACATTTTTTATACAAGTTTATTTTTTTAAATGGATGACTTTTTTTTCAAATGCTTGATTAATATTTTTTAAATACATGATTAGCTTTTTCATATGCATTTTATTCTTTATATATTTTTCGTATACATTAAAAACATTTTTTCTGCACACATTTTACAAATGCTAGATTAACATTTTTATAATACTTGGAAGTATAAACAAAAGTAAAAAGAGAAAGCAAAAAAACAAACGACAAACATGAAAAGAAACAAAGTTCTGGGCTCCTGGGCCGGCCCAGTCTTGCTCTCCCTCAGGCCAGGCTTCCCTATGTCTCGTTTCAAGCGAGATGATACATAAGGCGCGCTCCAGGAAAACGCTCCCGCAAGAAAAAGGAGGAGAGCAACTAATCAAGAAATCCTCCTTCGGAAGCCCCCGCAAGGGTCACTTGGTGTGGGCTAGGAGCGTGCCACTTGTCGCCTCTGGACGCTCCCTTCGGGGTTTTTTACGTGTTTTCAGCTTTTAGATGATTTATTTTCCTTCTTTTAGCTTTTTCCAGTTTCCACATTTTCTCTTAGGATTTGAAAAAAATAGGCAAAAAATGTGCTCTATTTTTTTCGCGAGAAGCACATATTTACTTCTGCTAGAGGCACAGATTTGCTTCTATGAGAGGCACGGGAAAGGAAAATGCATTTTTTTCCTTCCACGAGAGGAATAGATTTGCTTCTCATGGAGACACAAAATTGCTTTCGTGAGAGGCATGGCCATGCCTTTTGAAAAAGTGAAAAAACATGTTTTTATTTTTCCTTCTACGAGACGCACAATATACTTCTCAGGGAGGCACAAATTTGTTTTCTCGAGAGGCATGGTCTTGCATCTCTGAAAAGGAAAACAATTTTTTTCGTTCTGCAAGAGGCACAAATTTACTTCTTGAAGATGTACGGATTTGCTTCTACATGCGGCACGCTCGTGCCTCTCAGAAAGAGGAAAACGTGCGTTTTTTCTTCCATGAGAGGCACACATTTACTTCTCGTGGAGGCACTGATTTTCTTCCCCGTGAGGCATGATTGTGCCTCTCAAAAAGAGGAAATATTTGTTTTTTTCTTTCATAAGAGGCACATATTTACTTCTCATGGAGGCGCTGATTTGCTTTCGCGAGAGGCACGGTCGTGCCACTCGGAAAAGAAAAAAAACACATTTTTTTCGCGAGAGGTGCAGATTTACTTCTCATAGAGCCACGTACTTGCTTTCGTGAGAGGCACGGTCGTGCCTCTCGGAAAGAAAAAAAAACGTGCTTTATTTTTTCTTCCGTGAAAGGCGCAGATTTACTTCTCATGGAGGCATGGATTTGCTTCCACGAGAGGCACGGTCGTGGCTCTCGGAAAGAAAAAAGAATATGTTCCCGGTTCGGGTTTTTTGTTCAGTTTTTTTTGTGAAAAAAGTTCATGAAAACCTATCAACATGGATCGAGTTTTGAAGATCCCGAAGCGAGGAATCTAACAATGAAAACAATTGAAGATTTGAATGCAAGACTTGAGAGATAAAATGTTTTGAATAAACGAATCTACGAAAAAAATCTAACGATGAAAACAATTGAAGATTTGAATGCAAGACTTGAGAGATAAAATGTTTTGAATAAACGAATCTATGAAAAAAAAATCTCAGGTTACGACAAGAATACACACATACGGTGAGGCAAATTGGGCCTTGTACACCCTTCCGAGGTAGTAGCAAACAGAACCGGAAGCCCGGAACGCCCAATGCACGCACCGTCCCCACGCGGCGCTCCCCCGGACGCGCACTCCGTCGAGCACCTTCCCCACGGCGGCCCCCTCCTCCACCGCCTCCTCCCGGCGTGCGCCACCGTCCCCTCCCTCCGCGCCCTGCACGCGCGCCTCCTCGCGCACGGCCTCCTCCGCGCCCTCCGCGCCCGCACCAAGCTGCTCAGCTGCTACGCGGCGCTGGGCGACCTCGCCTCCGCGCGCAGGGTGCTCGATGAAACCCCCCGCCCTGACCCCTACACCTACAGGGTCGCGCTCGGGTGGCACGCCGCCGCGGGGCGGCACGCGGAGGCCGTCGCGCTCCACCGGGGCATGCGGCGGCGGTGCCCCGAGGCGCAGGACGACGTCGTCCTGCTGTCCCTCGCGCTCAAGGCCTCCGTCAGGTCGGCCGACTTCCGCTACGGCAGGCGGCTGCACTGCGACGCCGTCAAGGCCGGTGGCGCGGACGGGTTCGTGATGAACTGCCTGGTCGACATGTACGCCAAAGCCGGCGACCTGGAGAACGCACGCAAGGTGTTCGACAGGATCCTTAGCCGTAACGTGGTGTCGTGGACGTCGATGCTCAGCGGCTGCCTGCAGAATGGTCTCGCCCAAGAAGGACTGGCGCTGTTCAACGAGATGAGGGAAGAGCGTATGCTGCCGAGCGAGTACACGATGGCGAGCGTGCTCACGGCTTGCACCATGCTCAGCAGTTTACACCAAGGGAGATGGGTTCATGGGTCAGTGATCAAACATGGTATGGTCTTTAACCCTTTCGTTACTGCAGCGATGCTGGATATGTATGTCAAGTGCGGACAGCTAGAGGATGCTCGGCGGTTGTTTGATGAGCTCGGTTTTGTTGACCTTGTTCTCTGGACGACGATGATCGTGGGGTATACGCAGAATGGGAGTCCTCTTGATGCATTGCTTCTGTTTGCTGGCAAGAAATTTGTGCGCATTGTTCCTAATTCGGTGACCATAGCAACTGTTCTTTCAGCTTCCGCTCAGTTGCGCAACTTGTCTCTGGGAAGGTTGATTCATGGGATGTCAGTTAAGTTAGGTGTGGTTGAGAAGGATGTGGTGATGAATGCGCTGGTAGATATGTATGCAAAGTGTAAAGCAGGGTCAGAGGCCAATGGGATATTTGGAAGAATTTCGAACAAGGATGTTGTCACATGGAATTCATTGATTGCTGGCTATGTTGAGAATGACATGGGCAATGAAGCTCTAATGCTATTTAGTCAGATGAGGGTGCAGGGTTCTTCTCCTGATGCCATCTCCGTAGTGAACGCCTTGTCAGCCTGTGTTTGTTTTGGGTGATCTACTTATCGGTAAATGTTTCCATACTTTTGCTGTCAAATACGCATTTCTGTCCAACATTTACGTCAACACTTGTCACACCCTAGCTAGTCATGCATTAGAGTGTTGCATCATGTTTACTCTTTCATCAGAAACTTGAAATGGGGATGACAGAACCCCCAGTCCCCTCTGAAACCAACTAGGGTTACGAAAATAATTTTTCAATGAACCTGAAATGCCCTTCTAAAATGCCCATCATTTTTGTCTTGGTTCAGAACCTCTGCCAAAAGTGGTGCACATTTTCCTAGGCCATCCTAGGGTTTTTGAATTAAATCATAAATATTTGAATTTGAGCATTTAAAATAATATAAAATATTTAAATGCTCAAATATCTCCAAACTAAAATGTTTCATGTTGGAAATAATCCAACTATGGGCCAGGAATAGTTTGGTGATTTTTGAAGTTGCCTAGGTATTTTATTTAATTCAACAAAGTTGCAGATATATTAAATAAAAACAGAAATAGAAAAAAAGGGGGAAAACTTACCTGGGCTCCTCCCTGTGCGGCCCAGCCAGCTGGCCGGCCCAGCAAGCCAGCCCAGCCCACCACCGCCGTCGTCCTCCTGGCGCCAGTCGGCCAGGCGTGTGGCCGGTGCGCGCGCACGGCCGGAGCGCCACGCCACCAGCCCGTCTGCCTGCCTCCCTCGCCAGCGCGACGCCGCGGCGCTTCTTCTCGGTGCCGCCCCGATCCCCTGGCCTTATCCCTCTCTCTCTCCCGTGCTGCTCCCTCCCTCTCTCTCACGGCCGAACACCACCGTCGCCGCCGTTCGCCATAGCCGCCGTCTCCGACCACCCCTCGCTCCCCCGACTAGCTCAGGAGCTCCGCCTCGACTCCCTCTTCCTCCCCACCGCTCCACGGGTCTCCGGAAGCCCTGCATCGCCGCCACGTCGCCGTTCCCCTCTTCGGGCTCCGACCACCGTCGCCGTCAAATTCGTCGTCTCCGGCGCGTCCCCGAGCCCGCTTCGACGCCCACTGCAACCGCGGTGAGCCCCCGAGTCGTTTCCCCCTTCTCCCCTGGTCTCTCCCGACCTCTAGGCCCTAGCCCCACCTCGGCCGAGAGCTCCACGCCGCCGACGATGTCGCCGTCGTGGCCACGGTCGCCGTAGCGCCCAACCGAGCACACCATCGTGCTCCACACCTCACTAGGAGCACGTAGCACGCACCAACACCTCCCCTAACGCCCTGCAACGCCGTTTCCGACCGCACCCGAACTCCGGCCGCCGCAGCCGAGCTCGCCGTAGTCAACTCCGGCCACCCCGAGCCCAACCACCACCACCAATAGTCGCGGCTCAACCTCAGCAACACGTAGATGCCTTCCGCCGTCCATTTGGTTGCCGGAATGGCAAAAAGCACTTTCGCCGCCGTCTCGGACCTCGCCGGCGTCATGTCGCCGGTGGGGTTTGACTTGTCCGACCTGGGGTTTGACCCCCCCAGGGTCACTGACGCGTGGGCCCTGTCGGCCAGGTGGTTAGGTTAGCGCTAACTACTGTTAGTCAACCCCCCTGACACTGACAGTGGGCCCCAGCGCCTCTAATCCCTAATTAGGATTAAATTAAACCTGTTAAACCCCCCCGTCACTGACGTGTGGCCCCCACACGTCAGGTTTGACTCCAGCCAATCGCAGTTGACCACTGACGTCATGCTGACGTCATGCTGGCGCAATAATTATATTCTGGATTTAAATTAAATCAGGAAATTCCAGAATATTATTTAAACTTCAAAAATTCATAACTTTTATTCTGTAACTCCAAATTGGACAAATTATATATGAAAAATGATCAGAAAAATTCAATCTATCCATCTGTACTATTTTCATGCATGATCAAACAAGTTAAATTGATGTTTTAAGCAGAACAAGGAAAAGCACTTTAAAAGGCCATGTTTGAGTTTGAAATTTGAATCTTTGATTCAAATTTGTTCAAACCCCTCTGGTTTTAGTTGCATTAGCCCAACACACTCATATTGCCATGTTTCATGCATGCATCATATTGTTGCACATTGTTTGGTGATGCTTGTGTATCGATGTCCTTTGCGACAGGTTCTGCCCCCGAGGAGTACCGTGATTACCCTAACGAAGAACCGTATCAGTGCATCGAACCATCAGGCAAGCAACCAACCATTTGATCATATCGATACAATCCCATGTTCTCGCTCCTGCTCTCTTTTACTGCATTAAGACAACACGATTCAAACTGCTGTGTGCTACGGTAGTTGAACCCATTTCCTCTGCATGACCTGTCATTGCCACAGTAACTAGATGAAACCCACTAGCATGTGTAGGAGTTGATTGAGCCCTATGTATGTGTTGTTCCTACCTTGCTATGCCTGCTATGCTTAGAGTCGTGTCAGGTCTGGTTCATCTGGGTGATGGGCTGGAGTGAAATGTTATGTCGGTAAGGAGAGTGGTGTGGTGAACACGATTTGGTAAAGGTATCGATGAGAGGCCATGTAGGAGTACATGGTGGGTTGTTTCATTGAAGCCGACCTTAAGCACTGAGATCTGTATGTGTGATTTAAGAATCAGCTACTACCATGCATTGGGCCCGAAACCAATGGACCCTCTCGGCTTCTTATTCACCCTAGTTCTCCGTCCAAGAGTTGCAAGTAGTTTCTGGTGTTTGTAGCCTACTGGAGGCCGTGGACAGCGCTGACCGTAGGGGTGGGCTGTGATGCGGTAGGTACGTGGCCGGGTGTACCGAATACCCGTTAGGTATCTCGGGAACCCTGTTCACATCGTTCGGGGCCGTATAGGAAACCTCGGCCGGACTCCCTGCGGATGGAACCTGAATAGGCGATAAACCTGGACTGGAGGCTTAGGTGATTAGGTAGGTCGTGGCCGACACCCACGTTGGGCTTCCGCTTGAAGGTTGCCGAGTACATGTCGTGTAAACGACGGTAAGTGGTGAGAGCGTGTATGAAGAAGTACACCCCTGCAGGGTTAACATGATCTATTCGAATAGCCGTGTCCGCGGTAAAGGACTACTTGGTTGCCTATACAGTTCATAGACAAGTAAATGGAAACTACTAAAAGCCTCAAGATAAGTGTGAGTGCCGAGGATGGCTCTTCCGTAGGAAGACGGAGGTGGATCCTCGGTAGTGTATTGAAGTGGTGAGTAGTGGACTCGTGTGCGCAAAACCATTTCAAGCTGGAGTATCGTAGGATAGTCTAGCCAAGAGTCAAAGCTGGCTTGCTGCAATAACTCCACCAACCCTTCTTGATACTATGCATGTATGTAGGATCTGATGTAAGTCTTGCTGAGTACCTTTGTACTCATGTTGCTATAATCTACATTTTTACAGAAGACGCTGCAACCCCTTCTGATGGGTTCTATGTAGACGTTGACATCAACGAGTAGGCTAAAGACCCAGGTGGTGACCCTGAGCTTGTGATGGACCACGTAGTATAGCTAGGCTTTCCAAGCCTCTTTTATTTTACTAGTTGTCTGTACCCAGACAATGTACTTCCGCTGCTGGCTTGTATGACTGTATGACTTGTATGTTGGGTCGTGAGACCCGTACCTTTGTGAATGTTATGTATGGCTCCCTAAGCCTTAAATAAAGTACTTGTGTCATAGAGTCATGTTGTGATGCTTCGTTGTATTTGCACATATCGAGCATATTGTGTGTATGATTGAAATGCTTGGTATGTGTGGGATCTGACTATCTAGTTGTTTATCTTTAGTAGCCTCTCTTACCGGGAAATGTCTCCTAGTGTTACCGCTGAGCCATGGTAGCTTGCTACTGCTCTGGAACACTTAGGCTGGCCGGCATGTGTCCTTCTTCGTTCCTGTGTCTGTCCCTTCGGGGAAATGTCACGCTTTGAGTACCGGAGTCCTGTTAGCCCGCTACAGCCCGGTTTACCGGAGTCCTGCTAGCCCAGTGCTACAGCCCGGACCCACTTGCTGATGACCGACACGTTCGAAGCTGGGTCATGGATGCCTGTCCCTGTAAGTCTGTGCCACTTTGGGTTTACGACTAGTCATGTCAGTCCGGGCTCTTTATCATATGGATGCTAGCGACACTATCATATACGTGAGCCAAAAGGCGCAAACGGTCCCGGGAAAAAGGTAAGACGACACCCGTGGGGATACCGTGCGTGAGGCCGCAAAGTGATATGAGGTGTTACCAGCTAGATCGATGTGACATCGAGTCGGGGTCCTGACAGCGTTGGCATCAGAGCCGGACTGCCTGTAGGTTCTCCAAGCCAAACTGGTCGATGTTGAGTCTAGAAATTCTTTAGTTATATGTAGGGGAATTGTTTGTGGGTTGAAACGTAAGGCTCTTTTTACTCCTTATACCTTATGACTTTCTGATCTGAGTCAGTCCATTCTTCCACCGGGGGTTAAGGAATTAGGATCTGTTCTCTCTATCAGGATCACGTGTTACTAATCAGTAGTACCTTATAAGTTTGATGGTTATCAGCCTAGTTCAGTTCTACTACCACATTATGTTGTAGGAATGGTTTCAAGACTTGATATGATGATGTTGAGTGTGTACGAAATCCTTTGTCAAATGTCTCAATATCCTTTTTGAGCATTTACAGCTGTTATGCTGCCGAAATTTTGCTAGAAATTCTAATGCCTTTGCATTATGATTATGCTTTCAGATGGCCACTCGCGACCTCAATCAAGTGGTTCGCCTGACTCGATGCCTAGATGTACCCGGCCATACTGCTAAGTTGGTCAGGGTAATGACTGAGGCTGGATACCGCTGGTATCCTGAGTACACGGTCGAAGAGCAATTCCGAGATTTTAATCAAAGCCAGTATCTCTGCACTGTCAGGATATTTCCATCTTATCCTGGATCCACTGAGCCTCTTCACTGCTCCTATGGACTCGGGGTTACTATCGAGATGGCTATGCAGGATGCCGCCTACTCTATGATGACCATTATGCGAGTCAGATCTGGGTTATTTCGGGACTCTGACTTCCGGTATATGCCAGGATCACTTCCGGGAGCAC